GCGGCTTTCCCTTCTGTCGGGGGTCGCTGTCCCCGCAAGCACCATTAAATAAGGGCACTCCGCAGGGCCGGGGGCGGGCACGATGGGGGAAGCTCAGGTGAGTCCCAAGCACCTCTCACCACCCCCCACCCCCCTCCCTGGGCCGGTGACTTAAGATTTCTGTCGGATTTTCTTTGCTTAAATAGAAAGGCATGGGGCTTGGAAAAAGATTGCACGCCCTGGAAATGGTCCCCATGTGGGATTGAATCCCTCCAAAAATAGGTGCTGCACGGCAATTGCTGCCGAGCGGGGAAGGTTGGCTCTGGAAATGGTCCCCACATGGGATTGAATCCCTCCAGAAATAGGTGCTGCACAGCAATTGCTGCCGGGCGGGGAAGGTTGGGGTGAGGAACACCATCTAAAGAGGTCCTGGCACATTCATCACTTTCTCCCTGCCCGTCGCCAAGAGCAGACAGGGTCTGGTGCTCAGGTTGTTCCCGCTTTCCGGACTTGAGCCTCCCGTCTCCAGAAATGCTGCACTATTCCCCCGCCTGCCCCCCAGCAGCCTCATTAGCCAGCCTTGTAGTTTTTGTTTTCTCTCCCCTTGCTTTAGTTCCACTCGCCTATTGCACTTTTGCAAATTTGTTTTGAGATCACTTTACCAGAGGAGCCGGGGGCTCTTCAGGGATACTAATTACAGATTTTTTTTTTCTTCCCGAGTGACAGGCTGTTCGATCCTTTCTTCCCCTTCCCTCAAAATATTCAAGGGAAAAGGAGACAGAATTTCCTAGGTCTTCAAAGACTTTTTGGAGAAAAGCACATTTTTTAACAACCCCAGCCCCACTGGATTAGGAGTTAAAGCTGGGAGCTAAAGCTCTGTGTGCCAGGAGAGCGGGACCCAGGGGGTTGGCATTGTGCACCGGCAGATCCACAGTGCATGCTTGCAGAGAAATCGCTGAAAGATGATCAGAACTGCAACCGGCACTTTAAAGATCAAGTTTATTTGTGCACAAAGCATAAATCTGTAAACAGGTCTATTTTAGCCAGTCCAAACGTGGTAAATCAAATTGTGTGTCTGTGTGTGTGTGTGCACGCCACAGCTCTGAAGAGTTCAAGTTACTGCCCGGCAGAACCCCTCCTGCCCGACGGTTTCTTAGGAAAACAATAGGGAGCTGCCCTGTTTCAGACACGGCCCAGCAAAACAGCAACTTGCACCTCGGAGCAGCAGAAGCCCGAAATTCTGAGCTTTGCCATTTTCTGTAACTTTACTCCTCTCTCAGCTTTC